TAGTTAAGGAACTTGCTAGCAGGTCAGACAGCCAGCAAGCAGCATATTTGAACCCAACCTGTCTAAAATGTGTGTTTGAGGAGGCCCAGGGGCTCCCACCCACCCCAATGTGCCCAGTACCTGTGGCTTTGGACAAGGCAGGACTCTGGGCAGCTTTGGCCTCTGCCTTCGGGGTTCCCAGGAGCCCACCTGGGCACAGCATGGGCTTGGACCGAGGGCCGGTGGCGCGGCCAGCGGCCGGGCTCGCTGCATAGCGCCCTCCCCGGAAGGATGCCGGCCAGAGCGGCCTCTCACTCTGCGGGAGTCTGGACGCAAAGACGCCGCAGACATCGCTTTCCTTGCCACGTTCAAAGAGCCACGCTGCCAGATTCCTGTCCCAACAGCATCTAGCTTCCTTCTGTCACCAGGGAGCACAGGTCCCCTGAGGGGCTGTGGAGAGGGGTGACTCGGGGGGCTTCCGTGAAATGCCCTGCACAGGGTCTGGCCCCGGACAGCGAGAAAGCACACGGCTTTCGCTGCTTCCTTTCCAGCGAGTAAACCCAGGCTGACCCCCAGGAAAGGGACCTGTACAGCCGGCTCTGGCTCGGGGACCCTCTTTTACACAGAGTAGCTTGCTTTTCATCGACGGGGGCTGGGATAGGGCCAGGGAAGCTCAACAGGCACTGCGATGATTGCTGAGCTGCCAGACAGCGGCAGCCAGAGGCCCAGCCTCTGAGGCACAGACAGCCTTTGTGCCCTCCCTAGACAGCCCCCTCCGCAGGGCCCAGGGACCTGTCTGGCCGCCGAGCTCCCAGGAGGGCGAGGGGTGTGACCTTCCCCCTCACCCCCCCACCCAGGCCCAGCCCAGAGCCGGCTATAAAGCTGGCCCAGCCTGGCTCTCAGCACGCCCAGCTGGGACCCTCCTGGACCCTCCTCAGGGGACACTCCGCTCTGCTCCCCCCGCCCCGCCCCGAGTGGCACCATGAGGGTCCTGTGGCTGTGCTGGGTGCTCTGGGCGCTGCCCCTGAGCGGCCCCGGGGCGGCCGTGACCGAGGAGCAGATCCTGGGCAGCCTGCTGCAGCAGCTGCGCCTCAGAGAGGTGCCCGTCCTGGACGAGAGCGACGCGGAGGAGCTGGCCGCCCCCGCCCGCGTGAGGGCCCAGTATGTGGCCCTGCTGAGGCGCAGCCACGGGGGCCGATCCCGGGGGAAGAGGTTCAGCCAGAACTTCCGAGGTGAGGCCCCCCTCCCCGCTGCACCCGGGTCCTTGTCGGGTGGGGGACTAAGACTGGATGGGCCCATCCGGGAAGGCGGTCTGGGGCCCCTCTCTGGGGCAGAGACTCACTTCCTCAGTGCCCAGAGCTAGACCCGAGCACCCCAAGGTCAGAATTCTGATCTGCAACATCTCGGCTGACCCTGTCAGCTCAGGGTCCCACAGCGGCCCCTCCCTGCTGGGTGGAGATTGTTGCTAACGAGGCCCAGAGTCTACAGGGTGTGAGGAGGGACCATGGGCTGTAAGGAGGGCTGGTCTCTGCACTGACATCCCCTCCCAGCACGCCAGGCTGGACCCATTGCCGAAGCCCAGGCACAGAGAAGAGGCTGCTGGGGAAGAGACAGAAGAGCCAGTGGAAGCCGAGGTGGGGGTGGGGAGGTGGGGGGTGGAAGAACCTTGGCTCAGCCTCGGAGGCCTGGGAAGTGTTGCGGCTTCTTGGGTCTTATTGCCGGTAGTGGCCCGACCTTGAGCAAATGGCTTTAAAATCACTCTTGCAACAATGGTACAACTGTGTCTGTCCTACCTGTCAGTATCGTTAACACTCAAGTGCGTTTATGTGGGTAGAAGGGCATTGGGGTAACGGGCAGGATACTAAAGCCTGACACCGCATTACTCAGCTGTCAGGGTGCCGCTGGCCTGAGTCCTACCTGGTCCCTCACCTTGGTGGGCCTGGGGCTCATGTCGTAGGACCCAGAGACAGACCCAAGTGCCCAAGGTGAAGAGGATTCTGATGTTCCACATCTCTGCTGGCCCTGTTAGCTCAGGGCCCAAGGGCGGCCCTTCCTACTCCTGAAGATTGTTATAAAACGCTATAGAGAGACCATAGGGGTATTTCTAGGTAACCGGGCTTGGTTCTCTCCCCACCTGGCCACCACCTCAGTGGTCCTGCCACGCTGAGGTCCCCAGATGCCTGGAGAGGCCCCGCTGACCCTGCCCTTGTCCCCAGAGGTGGCCGGCAGGTTCCTGGCGTCCGAGGCCTCCAGGCGCCTGCTGGTGTTCAGCATGGAGCGGCGGCTGCCCCCCAACAGTGAGCTGGTGCAGGCGGTGCTGCGCCTCTTCCAGGAGCCTCTCCCCGAGGCTGCGCTCCGCAGCCACGAGCTGCTCTCTCCGCACAGCGACCGGGCCCGGGTCACCGTCCAGTGGCTGCAGGTCGGGGATGACGGCTCCAACCGCACGTTCCTCATCGACTCCAGGTGGGGAAGCCCTGGCTAGGGTGTGTGTGTGTGTGTGTGTGTGTGTGTGTGTGGCGGGGGAGAGTGGGGGGAAGTGGGGGGGAGCGTCCCCAGGACGCGGACAGGAGGGGGTTGGAGAGGTCCCCCAATCTCCAGCCCTGAGCACGGGCCTCTGTCTCCTCCCGGTGCCGCAGGCTGGTGTCCGTCCGCGAGAGTGGCTGGAGAGCCTTTGACGTGACCGAGGCCGTGAACTTCTGGCAGCAGCTGAGCCGGCCCCGGGAGCCGCTGCTGCTGCAGGTGTCGGTGCAGCGGGAGCACGTGGGCCCGCTGACCTCCAGCGCCCATGAGCTGGTGCGCTTCGCCTCCCAGGGGCTGCCGGGCGGCCGGCAGGGCGAGCCCCAGCTGGAGCTGCACACCCTGGACCTCGGGGAGTTTGGGTGGGTCCCAGCGGTGAGGAGCGGACTAGATGGGCCAGGCCCTCCACCCCCAGGACTCGCTGCGTGTGTGTGTGGGGGGGCGGTGCAGACAGCCCAGGGGGCAACCCATTCCCCACCACATGCCAGTTTCTAATGGCAGCAATTTGTATCATTCAAACATTTTATTGCAAAATACCTTCAGATATTTTCAGTGGGTTTTTGTGTTGTCATTGACACATGGGTTATTCTAATCATCTATTTTCATTTACCCTTTCTCATAATTAATTCTTTGAAAAATACTAGCATGAGCTGTTACTAAGTTGAACAGCTTTCATCTGGCATCGCTGAATTCTTCAAGAGCCAAGTAACAGGCCTGGGGGACATTGCAGCTGGGGTTCAGGGTAGCTCTGCCTTCTACTGGCTGCAGGGCCTCCAGCATGTCATTCCACACCTCTGGGTCTCAGTGTCCTTGTGTGTAATAGGGGTAATGCTGGACCCTCATCAAGGTTCATGTCAGGATAAATGCAGGTGCCACCTGAGATAACATCTGTGAAGTACCTGCTCCGACGCCTGGTGTGTTAGGAAACCTTTAGTGAACAGCGATTGGTTTATGTTCTGGATGATTATTCATTCAGTATTTATCTTACACATCCAGCTTTTTTAATGCCAGGAGAGATGGGTCACACATCTCCCTCCCAGATGCCCCGCAAGGTCCGCCCCGGGTCCCCTGACCTCAGCTCTCCCACCTGACCTCTGACTCCGCCTCTCCTTGGCCCCAACAGAGCTCAGGGCAATTGCGACCCCGAGGCGCCGGTGACCGAGGGCACCCGCTGCTGCCGCCAGGAGACCTACATTGACCTGCAGGGGATGAAGTGGGCGGAGCACTGGGTCCTGGAGCCGCCCGGCTTCCTGGCCTACGAGTGCGTGGGCGCCTGCCAGCAGCCCCCGGAGGCCCTGAGCGTCAAGTGGCCGTTTCTGGGGCCAAGACAGTGCATCGCGTCCGAGACGACCTCGCTGCCCATGATTGTGAGCGTCAAGGAAGGAGGCAGGCCGCGGCCGCAGGTGGTCAGCCTGCCCAACATGAGGGTGCAGAAGTGCGGCTGCGCCTCGGACGGGGCGCCCGTGCCAAGGAAGCTGGAGCCGTAGGCGCCGGGCACAGCCACTGAGGCCTCCGACTAAACACATGCACCAAAGCAGGTCTTAGTGTAGGTTTTAGTTTTCCACTTAGCAAGTTACCTCTGCCCCAAGTAGGTTTCCGAGTGTCTCTCCATTTCTCGTCCTCCTATCCATCACCCTAAGCACTTACATGAGTGACGAACGCCCCTCGGGGTTGCTGAGTGGGAAATTCTGGCTTGCTTGTTAGCTGCTGTCGCTGAACATGGAGAGATCATCGGCTGGGAGCTTCAGTTCTCGGGCAAATTCTCAGCTGAGTAGGGGACAACGTACCCTATCAGAAGCACTGTGGAAGTCAAACTCATGTACTCTATTACATAATGAATCAAAACAAACCCTAAAATCCCACTGTTTCCTCTAGACTGGGAGGATGCCCAGGAATGAAGCTCCATCTCCCACATCTTGACTCATTTTGGACCCTGAGAGGGTGCTCTGAGGGAGGAGGAATGGCTTCAGGCCGCGAAACCAGGACACCAGGTTTCTGAATCTACCAGTGCCACAAGCTGTGACCTCAAGCAAATGTAGAAGCCTTTGAGCCACCCACCCTGTGCTTTTAAAGGAGAGGAGCTGGACTCAGCTCTGAGACGACTCGTTGCCCTGGGGATAGGACAGCTCTAACCGCACCCTCTCCCCGAGGAGGCTGAGCACTGCTTGTACATAGTAGTTACTTCTCCTCGTTATAGAGAACTGATCACCAGTTAATATCATGTGTGTTTAGTTTTTTATCACTATTTAGCAAAAAAAGAAAAAAGCAAACCAACTGAATGTCGGTAACCTGCTTCAATAAAAGTGGTCTCACTACGCGTCTCCGTATTTAATTTCTAGTATTTAATAATCCCTGTATTTAAGTACTCCTTTACATAGGAGGCGGGCACACAGTCCGGACCCGGCCTCGGATTGGCCCTCCCCGAGATCCCGGCTGAGGATTGGCTGTCCGGGAGGGGAGAGGCGGGGCCACGTGGAACCCCGAGGCGTGGTCAGTGAGTAAGTGCCGACGGTAAGGCGACTCCGCGCCGGAAGCTGCTAGAAACACCCGAGATCCGGGTTCTGCGGTTCGCTGGTCGTCACGTGCTCCGCCTTTCCCTGGGGTACCTCCTCCGCCGCGTTGAGCGGATTCCTGACGCTGCCGAGTGGACACCGGGCCCAGAACCATGAGTGTGGGCTTCATTGGCGCGGGCCAGCTGGCTTGTGCCCTGGCGCGGGGCTTCACGGCCGCAGGTGAGCGCCTGGTGGCGGGAGACAGATGCGCGGCGGCCTGTTAAGCAGCAAGAGCCATATGTCGGTGTCAGGGATCGGGGTTAGGGGGAGGGAGGCGGTACTGTGAGCGTGGCGGGTTTTGATTCCGCTTTCTCAGGGAAAGCATGGGCACGGGGTGGGCCACGGTCCCCAGTTGAAAAGCCCTGTCTGCTGCAGGCATCCTGTCGGCTCACAAGATCATAGCCAGCTCCCCGGAAATGGACCTGCCCACGGTGTCCGCGCTCAGGGTAAGTGGGGTTAGAGGGGTGTGGAGAAGAGGGTGGGGGCTCAGGAGGAAGGCTTGGGCCCCTGAGCTGGTCATCAGCCAGCTGACCGACCCCACCCTCAGGAGCATCGGGATCCCCCACCTTCCCTGAGACAGCTCAGTGTCGTAAGAGCAGCCGGACAAACAGACTGGTGTTCAAATCCAGGCACTGGGGTGGTTAGAGTAATTGAGGTATTTATGTATGGAAAGCAGCTGGCGCATAGCAGGTGCCCAGTAAATATCCTTTGTCTTCCTGGGCTGTCTGTGTGTCCTTATGGTACTCTGAGCCTCAGTTTCCTCATCTACAGAATGGAGCTCACATTAGCCTCTTTGCTGAGTTATTCTGAGCATGAATGAGTGTGCGGGGGAAGAGCCAGGCAATTAGCTGTTCCTCTTGGAAAAAGAATATCCCAAGCCCTCTTCTACACCTGGGCAGTGCGCGAGGGGATGTCTAATGAGGCAGATGACAAATGGTGTCTGTGCTTAGCATGGCTAATGTCCCCAGCCCTCGAGGGCCCTGCTTCTCAGTTTGGAGTCCTACAGGGATGGGTGTCCTTCGGCCCATCCTTGGACCACATGGAGACCTTACAGCTTGAAGAATGAATGTCCATGGTTGGGGTAGGGCCTGACCTGGCTCTGCTTCCAGCCATTGGGTGCTAGCGTTTCACCTTTCTCTTTGTCACTTTCCAGCCATGGAGACTGCTTACCTGGCAGAGGGGTGCCGTAGGTGCTAGGGGATTGGTGGGGATGTGAGACAGCCATTTCCTGGTTGCCATGGAGAAGCTTGTCCATGCTCAGCACCGGTGCTCTCTTAACCAGTAGCAACATGGCAAAACTTTGTACCAGCAGGGCAAGGGCAGACCCCGAGGGAACAAGGCAGGGAGTTCCAGGCTGTAGCTGGCAGAGTGGCTTGGAAGGGGTTCAGCTGCCTCTCGGGAGGGTCTGTGCCTGGTGAGGCTGTGAGCTGGGCAGTTTCCTCCCGCAGAAGATGGGGGTGAACCTGACCCGGAACAACAAGGAAGTGGTGAGGCACAGCGACGTCCTGTTCCTGGCCGTGAAGCCGCACATCATCCCCTTCATCCTGGACGAGATCGGGGCTGACGTCCAGGCCAGGCACATCGTGGTCTCCTGTGCAGCTGGCGTCACCATCAGCTCCGTGGAGAAGGTGCCTGCCGTAGCTCCAGGGTGAGGGGAGAGGTGGGTGCTAGCGGGAGCTGTGCCCTGGCCACTCACTCGCCCCCCCTCCTTGCCCCAGAAGCTGCTGGCGTTCCAGCCGACCCCCAAGGTGATCCGCTGCATGACCAACACGCCCGTGGTGGTGCGGGAGGGCGCCACGGTGTACGCCACAGGCACCCACGCCCTGGTGGAGGACGGGCAGCTGCTGGAGCAGCTCATGAGCAGTGTGGGCTTCTGCACTGAGGTGGAGGAGGACCTGATCGACGCCGTCACCGGGCTCAGTGGCAGCGGGCCTGCCTACGTGAGGCCCTCATGAACTTACTCGGCCTTGGGGGACCAAGGGGAGCAAAAGGGGATGGCAGGCAGGCTGGGCTGTGGGTGCTGCCCCGCTCTTGGGTTCAGCTGGCTGGTGGAGGAAGCTGATGCTTGGCACTAGCTCCAGTCACCAGGAGAAGCAGGCCCGCAGGGTGCCCTTGAGTGTCTGCTGCCGCAAGACTCAGGAGTGTCTCCACAGGCATTCATGGCCCTGGACGCTTTGGCCGATGGGGGGGTGAAGATGGGCCTGCCGCGGCGCCTGGCAGTCCGGTTGGGGGCCCAGGCCCTGCTGGTCAGTATCCTCCCTCTGCATGTTCTGGACAAGGGTGTGGGCCGGGGGGTCTTGAGGGCCAGTGAGCTGGGGCTGGGCTTGGGTGGGAAGCTGGGATGGGGATTGGAAGAGCCTTTCCCAAGGGGCACCTGCCGTTTGTTTTGCTCATATTCCCCTTCTGCTCCAGGGAGCTGCCAAGATGCTGCTGGACTCGGAGCAGCACCCAGGCCAGCTCAAGGACAACGTCTGCTCCCCTGGGGGGGCCACCATCTACGCCCTGCACTTCCTAGAGAGCGGGGGCTTCCGCTCCCTGCTCATCAATGCCGTTGAGGCCTCCTGTATCCGTACACGGTGGGTTCCTCTCCTCTGCCCCAGGCCCCAGGTTCCCAGCTGGCCCTGTGCTGGGCTGGGCACTGTCTTGCCGAACCAGCTGTCTCTGGTCCCATTAGCAGTGTTGGAGTCTCAGCTCTGTTTATAATCATAACTTACTAGCTGATGGTTTGCAGGCTGTACTTTATTTACTTCTCACCGCGGTTCTGATAGTTTGGGTTAGCTTTGATTTGTAGGTGAGGAAGTCGAGACTCAGACAGTTTTCCCGAGGTCAAGACAGCTAATAAGTGATGGAGGCAGGATTCAGCTTCAAGCCCATGACTTTGAACCCTGCGACTTTCTACACTCCTCCCCCCATATGATCACAGATACCACTTGGCGCTCTCCATCTGTGTAGTAAGAGCACTTCTCAGGAGGCAGGGGGAGCGCTCGGTTTGGCCTTCTAATGTTGGGTGGTACCAAGTCACCAAGAGTAGGGGTTATGTGGGTGGGGAAGCCTTGGGAAGTTCTGCTACAAGGGTCATTGGCTTCCTCCTTAAACTCCTCTTGGGCTTTGTCTCCAGAGATCTGCAGTCCATGGCTGACCAAGAAAAGGTGTCCCCAGCTGCCCTCAAGAAGACCCTCCTGGACAGAGTGAAGCTGGAATCCCCCACAGTGTCCACTCTGACTCCCTGCAGCTCAGGGAAGCTCCTCACCAAAAACCCGGCCTTGGGAGGCAAGAAGGACTAAGGCGGCCCCACCCCTGTCTGTGACCAGAGCCCTCACCTGCGGGCCTGAGCAGGGCCAGGGCGCGCTCAGGTAGTCTTCAGGTCCTTGTTATGAAACCTCCTTAAATCTATTCAGACCAAGCAGCCCTAGTCGCCACTGCCGTGCCACGGTAGGAGATGCGTGGAAGGGGCGGATGACACAGGAGCCAGGTGGGCCCTTGCCACCTCCCATCCGGGGTCCTGCTCAGGTAGGAAGGTCCGGGGAGAACCTTCAACTCTGGTTCTCCAGCCGAAGCCCACAGTGGGGTCCGTTTGATCCCATGTCAAGGACATGACAGGTAAAAAAATGCGACAAGGGCATCTCTCTTTGAATCGAGAGTGGGCAACTTAGTATCGTCACAACCCGAAACACGCAAAGGGAGACTGGGCTGTGTTTTGCTCCTGCTTCACACATACACCACGCCAGTGAGTTAGTCACTTTCGCTAAGTTTAGTTGCTTCAATAAAGTTTTATTTTTTATTACCCTGCTTTTCTTAAGCTTAATCGTGAGTCATTCCAGAGAACTCAAGGCCCTGACCAGACGCCCCTGCTTCTGTGGACACGAAGTAGGCATGGGAGGACGTAATGGACCAGGCCCTGAGGGCTGAAACGACTGCTCCAGCCTGGCCCCCAGGGTCAGGGTCAGGGTCAGGGGACTGTTCTAGGATGGGCCAGAGCTCATGGCAGAGAATAGCCAAGTGGCCCGTGAGCACCAGCCCCTCTAATTGCCCTCTGAGCGGACAGCTGTACTTTTGCTCACTTTAGAGAAGATGCCAAGGCCTAGAGGGGGGTAGGCGACCCACCCGAGCTGAACTGCGGTCAGCGGTGAGCCCGTCTGTGTTCTTCGCCGCTGCCGCCTCCTGGGAGCCGGGGCCTGGCGGCCGCACAGCCAGAGCCTGCGGTTTTCCCCAGCAGGCCCGTGTGCCTAGCGTTGTCCCAGGGGCGTGTGGGCTGTGCCATTGCGTCAACATCAGCTCCGAGTTCAAACGCTGGTTTCTACCACCTCCAGCTAGGCCGCCTCGGAGAAGTTACTGAATGTCTCTGACCTCAGGCTTCATCCCCCACAAATAGGGAGGTCATGCTTCACAGCAAGGTTCTGGTGGATGTGGAATGAGATCCTGGGGAATTGCCCAATGGAACATCTAGAACACGGTGGACCCCTCGCCCTCCATCCTCCCACTGAGGAGGGGGCGGAACCTTCTCTTCCCGCAGGTCGAGGGCAGCCCTAGCTCCCTCTCCGGTCCTGAGGGCCCACAGGGAAGCCCCCGTTACATGGCGCATCCTTGGCAAGTCCCTTACATGAGATCTTATGGCTTAAGGAGCTAAGTGTAAAGGTGCAGATGGATGTTTCATCAAAGAAGATAAACAAATGGCAAGTGAGCACATGAAAAGGTGCTCAGCATTGTTAGTTATCAGGAAAATGCAACTCAAACCAACTGAGAGAGCATTTCATACCCACTCTTTTTAGTTAAAAAGGTCAGTGTCGGTGGGAATGTGGAGAAATTAGAAACCGCATGTGTTGCTGGTAGGGTGCAGCCACTTCGGAAAACAGTCTGTCAGCCCCTCAATAGGTTAAGTCTAGTACCGTATGACCCAGAAATTTCACTCCTAGATGTTTACCAAGGAGAAATAAAAACATCCACAAAAATCTTGCACAGGAAATTTCATGGCAGCATTATGCACTATAGTCAACAAGTAGAAACAACCCATGAACTGGTGGATGGATAAACAAAATCTATTGTACCTATATGGTGGAATATTATTCAGCAGCAAAAAAAGGAAGTGCCGATACCTGCTACATGATGAACCTCAAAAACGAGTTTAATGAAAGAAGCCAGTCACCGAAGCCAGAGTCCGGGGTTCCAGGTACATGGACTATCCAGACAATCTGCAGAGACGGGCAAGTGGCTGCCTCGGGCTGGGGTGGGAGCGGGGAGAGCAGGAGATTTCTGCGTGGAGGGCGGAAGTGATTTAAAGTAAGATCGTGGTGATGCATTTTAATTTTTTAAAATTCGATTTTAGAGAAAGATAACGATTTCTTGTTCCACTCATTTATGCAGTCATTGGTTGATTCCTGTGTGTGCCCTGACCGGGAACCCAACCCATAACTCTGGCCTATCAGGATGATGCTCTAACCACCTGAGCCACCCGGCCTGGGCAAGAGCCTGGTGATGTACACCCCTGTACGGAGCAATCGAATTACACACTTAAAGCGGGCGAATGTTACGGCCTGTAAATTACACTTCATAAAACTTTTAAAATGTGAAATTAGTTGCTCAAGTTTTCATTAGGAAGGGGTGTCAGGATTCAAATCCATGTCTGAGGTCAAATCCTGTCCCTTCTGCACTAGGCCTGCTGGCGAGGTGTCCGAGGTGACAAGAGGTGGTCCCCTCACCCTCTCTCCTCTGCCCTCCTCTGAGACCATCCCCTTTCCAGGCCCAAATCCACCAGCACACGTTTCCTGAGATGCTGCCAACTGCCAGGCCTTGGCTCATGCTTGGGGCGTGGACCTGGCTCAGGTGAGTCCTCACCTGCCAAGGACCCACTGTCTTCACCTCTGGGCTTCGACCAGGTATGGTGACGGCCAGATCTGACTGAAGGCGGCTGTCCTCCAGAGAAAGGGAGAAGGGAGTTACTCCTTGGGAGACAGTTCAGGTCACCTTCCCTCAGGCCTTGGGCCACATTCCAGCACCACCTTCTCCCTGGGCTGACGGGCCCTGGGGCCAGAGCAGCAGGCAGGCAGCGCCGGAGGCTGGCACACCCTGAGCAGGCCCAGGACAGACGTCCCTAGAGCTTCGCCGCTGTCTCACCAGCTGCCCGAGCCTCAGGGAAGTGCCTGAGTGCCCCCTGGGAGCGTGTAGGAGTAAGAGCTGGTGCTCAAGGTCAACGCAGCGTTTTCAGTAAATGTGGTGAACGCTTCCTCGCAAGAACGTGTTCCGTGTCCTGCGAGGCCTGGGGAACCCCAGTCAGCAGTGCTCTGTCCTTGTTCTGAGATGCACAGAAGCTGAGGACGGATGTGGATACAAGGAGATGTGGAAAGCACCGGAAGGCAGAGGCCAGGGCGGCTGGGAGGAGGGGGTAAGAGAGGAAAGAAGGGGGCTGACCAACCCCCCACCCAGCCCCTCTCCTGTCCCCCCATTTCATGAGTGGCTTCTCTCAGGACCCCAAACCTCTGTCCCTGTTGTGAACAATAGTTACTTTGGGGAAATGGGATTGTGGTTGACTTCTCACTTGATTTCTCTCCTTATTTCACTTTAGATCGCTGATTGCCATAAACGCACGATTTCCATAGTAACACTTCATGCGTTGTCGTCCGTGTCCCTAGGTGACCGTTACTAAGCAACGCTCAGCGGGATCCTGGGGAGCCTGACTCCACAGCATGGTGGCACCTCAGCAGGTGACAGTGTGGCCCTCACACAGTCCTTCCCCTTTCTGCAACCTGCACATGGCGGTGCTTCCTCTTTTCTTGGATGGGAAGCCCAGCCGATGTTCTTTGTCAGCTTCTCGTGTGTAACTTAAAACGTGGGAACTTCCTGAATAAACAAACACGCATTTTCTTTCCAAGTGCCAGGCACCGTATTTTGTGTGCAAGACACATAATCTCTTTTCATCGTTAATTGAATAATTATAATGTACTTATTATTTCCGTGTTTTACTGATGGAAACACCAAGGTTTGGGCCAGTTAGGACGCAGCCAGCGAGGAGAAAGGTCTGGGTGCCCAAAACCAAGGTGCATTTTCTGGAGCTCTGGCTGCCCTGCCTTGGGCAGGCATTCAGAGGCCGGATGGGGGGCCGGGGGCGTGGCAGGCCCCTGGGAAGCAGACCCAGACCCCAGAGTGGGGGCAGCACCGGCCTCCTCCCCCCCTCCAGGGGGCAGGGACCTTACTTTGAGAGTGCCAAGTCACTGGGAAACCCACTCAGAGAAGTAGACATTTAAAGTTTTCCTGTTTTATAGACAAACAAAGCTGTCATTTCTCCCTGCCTTTTTAATTAAGAGCAAGGAACAAGAAGTGAGTATTTTCGGGCTTCCTTTCCCAACAGCACTGCCCGCATCTGCTGGTCAGGCTCCCTGTGTACTGACGTGTCTGTGTCTGCCGAAGCCACTGCCTCCCCGTGACCTCGCCTGCCTCGTCACCCCTCTACCCCAGCTCTTGCCGCCACTCCCAGCCCTTTGTTGGCCCTTAGCATCCTGGAACTTACTCTGTTGCTCATTTTCTCGTGAACACTATACTTGCTCTTTAGTAGTGTTTCTTAGCTAACAAGATGCAGCCCTCATCACATCGCATAGGATTCTCCCAGCGATCTTGGAAGGCAGGCAGCGGTGGGAGACGTGGGCGGCCCAGCTGGTGCGTGGAGAACCCAAGAAGTTATCTAAGGCAACTAGGGGAGCCGGAACCAGGATCCTAGCCTTCGGCTTCCAAGTCTGCTTTTGGATTTACACCCCGCTCTTTGCACAGATGAGCTCTTAAGGACAGCAGGTGGCTCCTAAAAATGTCCTTTACACAGGAGGCCCCGGAGAAAAGTGAGTCCAGGAAGCCAGCCCAGCTCTGTCCCGGCCTGTTGTCCACCGGCGGAGGGAAGGCTCCATTCACCACTAGGTGGCGCCAGATGCTAAGCAGTGAGCGCCCAGGCTTACTGAGGGCAACGACAAAATCCAAGGTGCCGCGGTGTCCTGGGGAGAAACCCGATCTGAGAAACCCTGTCCTGCTTGGTGCCCCACGTGCCAGCTGTGGCAGGTGATTCTGTGTATTCACAAAACAAAGCAGCTTAGTGTTTGTTAGAGACGGGGGCGCTTGAATCTCCTTTCTTGGAACAGCCCTTGCCCTCTGCCTCCCACTATAGCCACCTCGCCATCATCCCAGGTGGGAGAGACAGGACAGCAGGCATCCTGGCTGCCCACATGCCTGGGCCCCTCCCCTGGGCGTCCAGGGCATTGGACGACGAGCCTTATCAGCTGCCCGCTGTGTTCAGGCTTCTCATAGGTCAGCTGAATCAATACACACTGGTCTTGCTGAGAGTCAGGTCACTGACCAAGTCACTTGACCTTGGGCTAGCTACTTACCCTCCAGGAACTTATCTGCAGTGTGAGGACAATAGCGTCCCCACCTGGAAGGGCGGAGGCGAGGATTAACGGAGATTAAGGGCTGGGCTGGTGTCTGGCAGGCGGTGAGCTCTAAAAACTGTGGCTGCTGTGAATTTGAGGGTGCTCGTTCAGGAACTGGAGGCTCAGAGGAGGTAGCCAGGAGGGCAGGCCCCAGGGGCAGGGCCTGGAGGAGCCTGCGCTCTGGTCTGGGCGGGCCCACAGCCCCTATTTCCCGGGCATCGCTGGCTCTGTGGCAAGTGCCTAGACTGGGTTCTCAAACCGATTGGTTGCCTGTCTTTTTAAAGTAAGAGAAAAGGAGAGGAAACTAGCATTTATTGAGTTCTGTTTCCAATCTTATTACCCTTAAGTCTCCAAAATGCTCCCCCGTCTCGACCCCAGGCCCACCCTTGCCCGCAGGCCCCCTGCTGTTGTTGCTCACTTCATTTCCTTGGCTGGAAATGCCTTCTTGTCTTCCTTGCCT